CTGTGTACATGACCTTATTAAAAGTTAGTTTAGTGTTCTGTTCGGTTTTACCAAGTTTTTTCTCCCTTTCACTTTTACAAATGGGCACCCGCGGCAGAGAACTTTAATCTAGGTCTTTTTTGTTTGGTTGTCCACCGGACAACCAGGAGACAGAATCTGGTTGTCCGAAATGAAAAAAGGTTGTCTCGGACAACATAAACAATGGTTATGTCTACCCCTGTCTCAAGTGTACATCTACAGTTTAACAATAAAATCACCTGTCATGTGAAGTTGCCCACTGCCACCTTTTTCAAATCTAACAAACTTGTTGTCCCAACATTTGTGCGGAGTTGTGCAGCAAAAATGTTCATTTGTACCGCTATATTTTAAAGATACTCATAAAGGTTGTCCAAGGGGGTGTCCAACTTCACATAGGTAGGAAAATCTTGTGCCATGCAGTGCTCAGAGTGTAGGCAGACTTATACTTCCATTCTCACACCTCGCTGAAAACTGAGTAACCTCCATCCGACATCTCCTGCCGACACCCCATCTTGTACCTATCCCCCAGTCAGAACTCTGTCCTGCAGACCTAAGCAGTTTGCAGTGTGTGATTGGTCAGAACTTTGTGGGCATGTTGGTTAAGGCGGAGCAGCGCCTCCGTCTGCATGGCATTTTGTTGAAAAAGCTCCAGTCACAGAAGCCGGACGTTGTAGTTGTCACCATCCAGATCCAGCTCAAATCCGTCGTCAGCTACATGAAGAGCACAACATTCCTCCGTAGAAAAACGTGGTTTCCTTCTAACGTAATGAATTATTGATTACGTTTTACCCTGGGGTCTTGGTGTATGTTCTCCAAGCGCGAGTTGTTTATTTGCTTAGCCATGTGCCACTTATGCTACCCTAAGAMGAATTAGGATGATTTATACCCCGCGTCTTCTACACAAGTACAAAACCTTATTAAGAAAAGGACGACCGAAATGACACAATGATTAATCTGCTGTTCCACGCCCTGTGGAGTATAAATCTGTCACGTGTGTTGGGCATGACTCTCAGCTATGACCTCACCAGATGTTAGCTCATGATCTGTAAAAGGTTAAGCCGTTTTTGTGTTTTCAAAGTTCAGCCAGCTGTGCTGGATATCTTGAATTTCATTGACTGATAGTTGAAGATATAAATTAAATTAACACTTTCGGAAAGTTTCATTAAGGTGCATCCAATGGTTCATGGGATATTTTGGGAAAATGAGAAATGAACACGCACACACAAATCTWAACTTATGGGCCACCTGTAATCAGCAAATTAAAACTCTCTGAAGCTAACTGACCTTAAAGTTTTAAACTCTGCAACTGGCAGCAGCTCAGAAATCAAAACAGATAAGACAGACTGTCCTTATCTGTCCGTAAGACATCTGGCAGCTCTTTCTGACTCTTGCTGTGCTGAGTTTATGATCTGGCTTTTTTTTTTTTCTTTTTGAGTCACTGTGGTCCCCACCCGAGCTTCTCAGAAAGCCTCAGAGGGAGCAGAGGTTAGAACTCACCGAGGGTATAGGCTAAGAAGTTGAAGATCCCTGCAGCAACCCAGACCCAGCTAGGCACGTGTTCATGTCCTGCAGCTGAGAAACACGAGACGTTAATATGTAACCGCGCCACAGAGACACATCCGTAAACTGATTTCATGCTGTTCTGACTGAACAGAACTCAGATTCAGTTTGAGAAAATTGGTGAAACAAAAAGGTCGTGGTTGAGGTCAAATTCAGTATAACTTGCTTTAAAGGAGACGCGTCATGCTTTTAAATCCTTATTTTTCATATTTAAATCATTTAATTGAGGTCTTTGTAAAGTAGAACCTTTGGTTTGAATTCCACCCCTCTTCTGACGTGTCTCAGATCAACTCATTTTGAGGCTGTCTCTTTAAATCCAAACGAGGTACTTCAGACCCCTTCCAGCTTCCAAGAGCAGCCCATTCTAGTTTGATAGAGGGGATTYTGACTATAAAGCAGTGTAGAAGCGTTTATTTTTTAAATGAACTAGATAAAAGATGTCAACAGAAGACTTGTCKGTCCAGTCTTACATGTTGAACGGAYTCTGACCCAAAGACAGAGGAGAATGAAGATGAAATTGTAGTTTTTTTAAGTCCAGACCTTAAATGTCTGTTCTGTCACAAAATCTGTGACATAACAGTTTTAAAAAAAACATTACAGAAAATAGAGAAAACTAAACGGGTTATATGACCCAAAGAAATATAAAAAAAGATATCTACGCAGCACCGGGAGAGACTAAATTCAACTTTTCTGCACTCCTAGAGACTCTACACAACTAAATATACTTAGTTAAAGGTTAAAAAAGGTSGCTGATGCATGACATGTCCCCTTTAACTGTTGTTTTAAAGACAAACTGGAAAAATTTGGAGGTCAAAACAAAACATGACTGTGGCATGAGTACAAAAAATATGTAGTTAGATGACACAACAGGCATGTCAGAGGACAGAATCTTAAATCTTTGTTTGTATTTTAGAGATACACACACACACACACACACACACACACACACACACACACAATCTAGGCCAGGTCACATTTGTCACTCTTTAGTCATCCATTTGCGATCAGATTGCGCTAAACACAGGATTAAACATTTTCACACAAACCAGCTTCAGACCAAACAGTAACCTGTCTCCATCCTTGATGTAGGACCTCTRACTGAAATGAGATGATCTCACAGAGGCAGCTGAGTGAACATCTTGAGGCATAAAAATATTTAAAAAATGTTTTATAATTCACTCAGCTGCAGGCTGATTGAACAGCAATTCTTAGGCAACATGTATAGATTATTCCCACTGCTCACCACATTACATGTGTGATGGGAAAAAATGTAGAGAATTAATTTCAATAAGATTACAATAAAAGTTAACAAAACTAAAGCAAAACTTAAAGGAGACCAATTATGGGTCCTAGAAATTTTTATGGTATGTCTGTGGGGTATCCAGACCATGTTCATTCAATTCAATGCACAAAATAATTCTCAGATAATAAAATTTCTCA